TACAACTCCTGGAACAGATGTGGATTCAGATAATAGGATATATACAAAGGCTGGAACTCTGGATGCCCACGAAATGTAGGTTAAAAATGCTCATTTGTTATTTGAATGTACTGCTCGGTTCAGGGGGCCAAACACATCATGGAATGGTCCAGGTTCTGACCTCAGTCACTTCTTGGTTCACCAGGAGTGATGCTAGTGCAGAGGAGATCAAAATCTGCCCATTGTCCTGTCTCCACCATCTCCAGGAAACACCACTATATATGTATTTATCAATATATATATATAGCCTGATGAAACTCAGCCTTTCCATCAAGAGTCTGTTCAGCACCATCCCACTCCTTCCTGGCCTTGATGACTCCTTTCTGGCCTTCTTCCCTTTTGCATGAGGCACTTCCAGTTCCCTAAATCTTTACTAACACTTGTCCTTGTACTTTACCAGTTTTCATCTCCCACTTGCCAGGTGGCCAGAGGAGATATTAATATGAAGGCCAGAGAATCTGTTCCCTCAAATGTTCCTTTCCATTCCCCAGAAACCTTTCCCATAAACAAACCCAAGTGGTGATTTCTGGACTCTTAGGCAATATTCTGTCATACCAGCATAATAGCAGAGGGGTGACAGAAAGAGTTATTTCTGAGATGGGCACTCCCAAAGGGAACATTCTGTGCTCAATGAAGTCAATGTGATGGAATAAAGCTGCTCTAAAATTCAGCAAAATACTCTTCTCTGAAGAGAGATAAACCACCTGAATGCTTTCATTGACTTGAAATATTACCTGAGTTACAACATTTAATACAAGATAGCTCAAACATGGAAATCAAGCATGAAAAGTGCAAAATAGCTAATTGGAGAAGTCTCATTCTCCATCCCTCTTTACTATCTCGACCAGTTAAACTAAAAAGCATGGGACAGGGCTGCTCTCACTGTCTGGAGTAAAAAATGGCTCCAAAAGAAGCAGGATGCTATAGAATAACATTACAAGGCACAATGAAAAAAATGTTTAAAAAAAAAACCACACAAAACAAACAAAAAAAAAAAATCTAAACCACCAAAAATAAAACCCAAAACCATACAATTCAAAAATAGTTAATACACAGCATAATTTAGGCTTGTAACACAAAACACCTTACCTGTCTGTGTGTGGGGAGATGATATTATCCCCATTTTACAGCTAAGAAAACTGAGGCACAGTAAGGCTAAACAATTTACCCAAAAGGATTTAATGGAAGTGCCAGTAATGCAACCTCAAAGCCTTGATTTGCTACCTTTGGCCCTATCTCTTCAACCTCAGTACCTCCAGAGAGAATTCTGATAAATTCTGAAAGCAATAGCTTTCCCTGTTCTGTGCCACAACCACGTGGCACACAGTTAAACTTGTTAACTATCATAAGACAGAAGCATACCATTAAGCCAAGTGATTATTTTTTGCATGATCTTCTTTGTTTTGCAGCAAAACAAGAAGTCAGGTCTTGCTGAAAATAAATCCTCACTGAGCTAGTTGTGACAGCCTCATCAACCAAGCTGAGTCTTTACATACATAGCATTTTCATTGGCACAAAACTGCAGATGAGGAGTGTTTGTGTCCATAGGAAAAGCAAGATTTTCCCCATACCACTGTGGTTTTTCTCAGTGCAAGGCTGCAAAACCAGAGCTGTTCTAAAAGCTGTGCAGAAGCAAAGCAGCAAGAGCAGCGGCACAAAGACAGGCCTGTAGCTTGTAGCAAAATATTCTGCTCACTGACTCAGAGAGGACACTGAAACCTCCACGGACTGCCAGAAGGTTTGTGTGGGAGCTGCAGAACACAAGTCCTCAGCTCCATCATTGGCCAGACTTGCAAAAATCTTTCAAAAGCCTCCTGCTTCCAAAAAGCTGTCTGCATCCAAAATGACTGGCACAGGGTTTGCAACACAAAGCAATGTGGGCAGGAGAAAAATAACCTCCATTTCCCACTGTGAAAGCACATTTCACCTTGAGTGGATTTCTACAGAGAAATGTTGGCAGTCATATTCCATTCCATATTCCTCTCCCCAGTGCACTGCACCCTGGTGGGACAGTGGCCAAGCTCCTAAGTCCATTTTGAAAGGGATTTTAACTCTTGATTAATGGAGTTGCAGGACACAGAGCACATGTAAAACACGGTGTGAGGGCACCCATTACAAAGGGCATCCTCAGGGTGATTGCTCTGGGAAGACACAGGAAGGAATCCCTATCCTGAGGCACCAGGAAGAGAATCAAAAAGAGCCTGGAAGAGCCCTTAGGAAAGGAAGTCAGCTCCTAGAGGCTTGCTGATGTCCATGTGTATTTTACACCCTACCTGGCACTGCTGGGGTGTCAGAATAGGGACCTTCAAAGAGTTGTTACTTTTGCCAGTGAGATGAGAGATGGATGTTTCTGCACATGAAGCATGCCCTGCTTCCCCTTTCCCAGCTCTGGGAGGTGCAGCAGCAAGCAAGGGAGAGACAAAGCTCCAAAGAGCTGCTCAGTGCTTTGAAGGCTCAACCACTTCTTTTCTTTCCTTCCAAAGCTGTTGCATGATCAAAGGAGGCAGATGGAAGAGAATCACTCTGCAGTGACATGTAAAGGGAATGAAAAATCCTGATAAGCCCCTGCCATGTCCCTGTGATTTCTGTGAGCTACATGCTGAGCAGAAAGCTGTACAGTAGCAAAGCCAGCCATTTTGCATGAGAGACACTCACTTTGCCACTTGGAAGCAGCTGCCTCTTCCTGCAAGCACAAGCACAGAGCAATACAATTGCGTTTGCCCAGGCAAAGATTATTTAAAAGGAAAATCACAAAGGGAAGAAACATGAGAGTAGGCAAAAAAAAAAAAAAAAATTACAGAAGTAAGAATTTTCTTGTTGATATTAAAACTAAGTCTGGAAAGGCTGAAATTGAGCCCTCAGGCATGAAAAACCCAAGTCCATCATACTTCCCATCTGTTTAATCCTGAGATTACAACTTGGGCATTACAACTGCCCTCAGAGGAGCCTTTAGTGCTGCACATCCAGCTCATTCCTGGTACAGAGAATTTCAGCATTGCCTGCCCATGTCTGTACATGGTCAGAGGAGATCCAACCATCTGTGACTGGTCAAGCACAAGTGTCCCAAGGGTAAGCACATGAGCAGGATTTTGACCTTTCCAGTCAAAAATGAAGGTAGAATGAACTAAGGAAAGAAGAGGTGATGAAAGATTAAAGGCCTCAGTACAGAAACTCAAAAAGGGAGAGGAAATGAAGAAAAAGCAAAGAGCACTGAAGAATATTTAAAATTAAATTTAAATAATATTATTTTCTATTTCCTTCCTGTCATTAGCTGCCAGCAAGGTCACTTTTTTCCTTAGCTTTGACATGAATGTACTTCTCCCCTATGCCACGAAGAGAAGGCATTAGAACAGTAGCAAGACCACAGACAACAACCACAACTGCACCCAACTTCTGTTAATACAGGCACATAACAGACTTCCCATTCTGATAAAAGAAAAAAAAATGTCACTGGAAAGGGGCTGAAGCAGGGGACATGAGAAGAAAGACAGCTATCCATTCACTTTGTGACCTACAGCAAACATTTATTTTGGTGTGGCATTGCCTCCATCCATTTGGAAGGAAAGCCCCCAGCATGGCTGAGGAGCAGGGAGGGGTGGCCTTGCTCACCTTGGGGCTCACGTCTCACTTCACAAAGCCTCAAGCTTTGCAAACAGAGGGCTGTTCCCCCTCCAGGCTGTCTGGTGATCTCTACAGGGGCAGGAATACCTCTGCATCTGGGTGACATAAATATTGGACACAGCGAGCACCCACCTCACTATTACAATTAGCTATATCTAATTATGATACATAATTACTCATTACAGCATTGCAACTCCCAGTCTAGAAAAGAGCAATGTATGTAGAAGCCAATCTTTAGAATTCCCCATTCCCAGGGGCCAGCTTAATTTGCTTTTCTAATTTTGTCATCTCTCATTTTTTTATGTGAATGTCACACAGGAAAAGCAGCCCTAGAAAAGTGGGGCTGCTTATTAAAGCCTAATTAGCCGAGTAGAAATCACTCATGTCTGCTGCATCAGACTCAAGAGCTTCTTGAGCTTCTTCTCCACACCTACAAACCTAAGTGATTTGTAGAGTTCCTCGACAGGATTTGGATTCTGTAGGAACAGAGATTACCTTCTACCTCTTCTTGACCACAGCTTGAGGGAAAGAGTGGAAATCGAAGGTCACCAAGGTAGCTGGAATCATAAGGGCATTTTTCTCATTAAAATGAAGTGCAACACTAAGAAAAGAATTTCATGTGCTAGTAGTTAGGTAATTGCAGCAGCACTTTGGCACTGGATTGCCACAGTGCACACTTCACTGAGCGCTGGGCTACACATCAAGCAGCCTCCCAGACAGGGACTAATTGAAGAGCCAGGTGTGGCACTTCACCAGCAAAAGGAGGCTGGCAAGAGATGAGGCAATTACATTTGTACTATTATATTGCTCAAAGAAATAGTGCTTTTTTTCTTCCACTTCAAAATGCTACAGCTTCTATACACTTTGCAAATGAATGCTGAGGCTGTTAAAATATTGCTGAACTCTGAAGCAGCATTCCCAAATCAGGGTTCTGATTCTAGTAGATGAGGGTGGCAAAAGAGCAACAGATTTTTGAAGAAAGGTGGTTTTATGCCTTTTTGAGCATTCACCTACATTTATGTGCCTGTCAAGAGGATTACTGCCTCCTTAGATTCCCCAAATCTCTGACACATAGGAGATCTAAGAGCCTTAGCTGACTGTTTTAACAAAGCTTAGCATCAAATTATTTCCTGAAATATAGATGTGTTAATATTGAAACAAATGCTTTTGTTGCAAGGCTTCTCCTTGCTCAGATTTTGGAAGTCATGATGTGCTACATCAGAATGAGGAGATTTTTAAATGATCTTCCTGCCTTCCCCACTCTCTGGGTAACTAGATACACGTGTACTGCAAAGGATAGATTGGTTTTTTGTCTCTTGGTTTGGGTTTTTTTGTTGTTGTTTTTTTTTAAATCAGTCAGGGAAACAAGAAACTGCAGCTGAGACTGGAATGTGGCACCTTATAAATAAGGCAGGAGACAAGATGCACTCTGATGGCTGAATACAGTAAGGTTATTCAGGTCCAAGCCCGCCTAATCACTGAAGTCAAATGTAATGAATTTACTGGTGTGATCAGGGCCCCAGGGAGGGAATTTTCCACTTTTGCACAAATGGCTCCAGGAAATTCCTTGGCCAAGGTAGGGGGTGTTGCTGCAGTGCACATTTACAGGGGATGGTAGAACATCACCCTCTGTGGGCACCACTACGGGCAGCAGTGCTGGGAACAGCCAGGGAGGGGAAATCCTGAGCTCTGGTACCTGCAGGGGATCTCACTCCAGAAAAGTCCAAAGCCATGGCAGAACCTGCACTAAAAGCAGCCATGGTCACTTGCCATGGCCACCTGGAGTAGCTTGCAGCACATCACTGAGTTGCTGTTGCAATCAGCAGATTTTGGCAGGCAGATCATGGAATTTAAGGCTGCTAAAAAAAAAATAGTTGCTAAGAAAAGAAAATGAGATGATGAGTACCACAATGAGCACTCTAACACTGTTTCCTATATCTTCAAAGAAAGGAAAATGAGATGATGAGTACCACAAGGAGCACTCTAATAATGTTCCCTATAGCTTCACATGCATACAGAAAGGCACAGGAATATAAGCTGTTTCCAGGACAGCTGAAATGTCCAAAGATACATTTGATGTTTTAGACTAATTAGGAAGTTAATAACCCACCGTAATTTTGACTCAGATTCACTGAGGAAAATAAGAGGAAACATTATTTTATGAATGGAAAAGATTAGGTAAAATGGAGGTCAAAAATATTACTTTTAGCAATCTTAAAAACAAGTCTTATAAAATACTTCTCCATAGACGTTAGTTTGGTGCAAAAGAAGCAAAAAGTGGGGAAAGGAAAATGACACCTCAAATGGATCAGCACAAGGAGCTGCTTTTTTTGTTGTAGTACACAGTGTACAAGGACAGAATTTCCTTGGAGTTTTTCAAGGCATTCAAATTTCCAGCATGCCCATACATTTCTTGAGTGCTATTAAACTCCCAGAAAACTTGAGGCTACCAATGTATCTTTCCCATTTCATACCCCAGAGACAGATCATGTCATGCTTTGGTCATCCTGGAAGGGTCAACACATAAGCAAATCCCACAGAAGGCATCTGGGATGGCTGAACGGGAAGCAGCCAACTTCTAGATGAATTTGTGTCAGAAAATTTCACTACCATATGTTTTACAGCAAAGGCAAAGACAGAAATGAGCCAAAGAGCCATGAAATATCAGTGAAACAATCTTCCCACAGCCACACAACACCACCAGAAAAAAACTATGTGCTCCATCTATCCTTACACAACCGTACCAGCTCAGCAAGTACACCTGGGAAGATCAGTGGGTACAAAACATTAATTTTGTACTATTTTCTTTGTCTCTGGTCCGTCTGTATGACAGTCCTCATGGAGCAGGGGACATCTCATGTAGACTGAATCCAGGCTACAGCACCATGAGTTGGGACTGAGCAATTCTACAGCTGCTGGAGAAAAACAAGAGTGAAAACACCTTGGTTTTCAGTAAAAACACCTACAGACATCTTAAAGTGCTAAAACACAGACACCACATGAAATGGTGAAAGATCCACTGGAGCCTGAAACCAGTTTTGTAACAGGCAAAATTTGCCTTGGACCCCTGTTTTACACAAGCAAAAACTCAGCCTCACATCTTACAGTACTGAGGGATGCCCAGAGAAGTTGTGGTTGACCCAGCCCTGGAAGTGTTCAAGGTCAGCTTAGATGGAGCTCTGAGCAGCCTGGTCTAGTGCAAGGTGCCCCTGTCCATTGCCTTAGATTCTATGCTATAATAAGTAAAAAATGTATGACATCATCATGCCTTGAATAACACAAATAAGGTATCTCTAGCATTGAAACATGAAATAATAAGAGTAATTGATGCTATTAAATTACAAAATTAGGTTTATTTTATCAACATTATAAATACTTTCCCTCCATTTAGCTCCAAAATGAGATGGTAAAACCAGTACAACGGAACTATTCGGGAGCTCCTCAGTCCTACTGAAAAAAGTTGCCTTTAATAACAAATTAAAATGGAAAATGACATTTTCTCAGTCCAGCAATCTCAGTAGCTGAGCATCCCTAGGGGCTTTATCATTCAAATGACACAATTTCAAGTGCGCTTGCATGTGTATGTGTGCACCTATATACATGCATATTGATGTTTATAAATATACATATATATAGTAATATACACACATTAACAGCCACTGAACAAAGATGCTTTAGTAAATTGAAATGCTTTGCATGTAATTTAAGTGGACTCCCAGCTGCACACTGGAATTTGGGCCCTGCCCAGTGCAGGCACAGCTGTACTGTACTAACCTAGACCCCAAGTGCTCCAGAGATTCAATACAAATGTGTTACCTTTATTGCAGAGCCTGCTGCTTCTGTAATGCCACCACATCTGAAAAGGGTAAGGAACAGTCCTGGTCCCAAACTGCCCTCAGTGAACCAACTTCTGATATTCCTTGCCACACATGAGCCATTGTGGCAAACAACAGATGCTCTGTTACCTGCAGATACCAAACATCAGCAGTACCTAGTGCATCAAGGGTTCAGTGCTTCAGGACACATTGGACATCAAAGGCACCACATCCAGCCCATTCCTGCCCTACCTTGAGTGCTGGGGGCTGTTTTATCACACAGCACAGGCAGCTCTCCAGAGACATGACAGCTCACTCTGATCATTGTACTCCAGCTTTCAGTGAGAAAGGCAAGCCACGCTCTCTCGCATGCTCTGAGCAGTCCAAATGGCACAAAATTGCTCAGGAAATCTGCCCATCCTGACCAGCTGCTCCAGAGCCAGCCACAGCTGCAGGCACCTCCTGGGCACAGGGATGAGCTGACAAGGGGAGGACAACTGAGGACAGAGGGACCAGAAGCAGCTCCCTTATCATAACACACATCTGGCCTCTGGAGGCTACCTGTGATGAAAGCAAGCTGCTTCATGGGACTGAAGGATCAGGGAGCTCCCCAGGCTCAGTGACCATACTCAGCTTGGCCTCAGCACAGGACAAGCCAAGCTCCTGTGCTATTGAAAATTTCTCCATTTCTCAGACCAGTAAGCAAACCTAAATATTAAAGTGATGATAACATCATTCTTGTTTTCATCAAATATCACATTAATGCATTTTCTCACAGCTTGGAAATGGTGCAAGGCCTACCATGAAACCATAGTGTGAGGACCTTTCCTTATGGAAATATCACATACAACAAAACTATATTCTGAGTTTTTATTTTAACAGTTGCCAAATTCTGTTCTAATATATACACATACTTATTTTTTCCACAAGCCCCTGGATAATTATCAAGGGAAGTAATTTGGCTTTCATATTTTATTTTTTAAATGAGAAAGGTAAAGACAGAAAATAAGACAAAATACATTTCATGTCGCCATTGATCTATAGATTACAAATATATATAGTTTCCTTCCAGAGGAAGAAATACTAAAGAAATATTTTGCCCATATCAAATGAACTTCTGAAAACAGGAAAAAAAATTAAAATATATTATTCAGCTCCCCCCCTCCCTACCACAACAATCACTCGTGCTTAAAAAAAAAATTGCATTCATTTGATTTCCTCCACTTCTACCAAAGAAGAAAAACTTATCTGGATAATGACCTGAGTTATTTTCATGGTTTCCAAATGTATGTAACCCCAATGATCATCATTTATCAGAGAGGTACCCCTAGCAAGGGATGTGAAAACAAACAGTTGTGGATCTTTCAAATAGAATAACAAAGCAAAATTCAAAAATGTATTGCAAGAGTTATGCCAAAAGTCAGCCATGAGCATCTTCATGGGCACTGGTCTGACAAAGTAGAAGTGGAAGCTCTGCTATATTATCAACTGAGATATCTGTAGCAATTGGAAACCCAACAATGAAACATTTTATTTATGCCTGTGTATTTGTTTGCTTTCTCTTCTTTTATGGTTATAAGACAGAGAACAGATGAATACAGAAGACACAGCTGACCTTTACAGCAGACAAGCTTTATGTTTCAAACCTATTGTGGGTAACAAGGCAAAGAGCTGCTGCTTGTCTTTCTCCAGGGACAGACTCCCCAAACCTTGGCTCCCTTGAACAATCAGATAGTTTACAGGTTCAGCCAAAGGAGGTTTTCCCATTCCCATTGTGACCAGGCCAGTGCCCATGTGTTTGTTGGCAGCAGCGAGCCCAGGCTGGCTGCTGATGTTCCCGGTCTCCTTCCTCCCCATGGCTGTGCTGCCAAGGGGACTGGGTCTGTCACTGAGTCCATCAGAATTCCATCAGCTTTGCACAAATCTCTCCCCAGTGTAAAACCCATCTTTTCAGAAGTAAAGAACTGAAGAAGCTATCAACTTCTAGGCAGGCCTGAAACCTGAGAAGAGCTGGGTCAGCCATTACAGGCATAAAAGTGATATGAGAAATCTTCCTGGTGATTTTCTGCTCTGCTATTCAGCATGGTACATCCCATAGAGCTCCTTTCCATACAAATGCCTGTCTTGTGAGGATACCATAACCCAGCATGCCCAGCAATGATAAGCTTGGGTTTTGTCACTGCTGTAAGTATGACTGTGCCCAAACCCTGGGAAACAAGGCAATAAGCAGCATCCCCTCCAAAAGCAAGAAAACTCTGTAGGGGGCTGAGTACTGACAACACAGCTTCTGAGAGGATGGCAGGGCAGGGAATGTAGCTGGTAAAAACACTGGATATTTCTTAAGGGCATCCAGAGCTCCTCAAACATTTTGCTACTGCCTGACCATTTGTGAAGACAACACAGAGATAACAGGTAATATTTAAAAACTGATGAGAAGTGAGGGGAATAGGAGAATAAAAGCAATGCAGGAAACTGCAAGGATGGAGGACAGCCTGGTTGGGTGGCTTAATGTACCAGTTCATTTGGATTTTGTTCCCCCACATCCTCTTTACTCTTTCCTTTTTTTCCTTTTTTTTTTTTTAATAAATTATACAGATGAACATGGGAGAAGTTCATGCTACTTGCTGGAAGCAATAAAGGTAAATTTTCATGGCCTATGGATTCCACAGACCTTTGAGCGTCCCACCTCATCCATCATGGGCTAACTTGTGGAACATAAACGTTCCCAGCAAGACTCAGTAGCCCTTAGAAACTGGTGGCATGTCCTCAGGTATTTTCCTCAAGAGTGAGAGACACGTGGGTTCCATCAGTTTCTTCCTCACACGAGGCCCGAGTGCCTCAGGTGCAGTCTCGAGATTTCCAGGGATCCTTTGGGACATTTTCAGATGTCAGACTGCTGTCTCCAGGTCCTCGTGGGAAACCATTTGATAGTTTTGTCGACTCTCCAGGTAGGAGGCCAGATCTGGATCACCAGCTTGCTGAGCCCTGTCACGAGGGGTCTTACCCTGTAATGAGAAACATGAAGAGAAATTCTTGTGCTAACACATTGAGAACAACAGATGATTTCTAGACAGAAGACAATTAACAATTCAGAAGCCTGTCACGAACATATTTTATGAAATTTCCTTTCGTTAGGATCTTCTGAGAAGCTGAGAGGCCTCAGAAACAAAATGTAAACAATGATTATCTGCTGCTATGGAATGCAACAGGTGCATCTTTGATTGGTCTCATGTAGTTGTTTCTAATTAATGGCAAATCACAGTCAGCTGTTTTAGACTCTCTGGTCAGTCACAAGATTATATTATCATTCCATTCTTTTCCCTTGCTAGCCTTCTGATGAAATCCTTTCTTCTATTCTTTTAGTATAGTTTTAATATATAGTTTTCTTTTAATATAATATATATTATAAAATACTAATTCAGCCTTCTGAAACATGGAGTCAAGATTTTCGTCTTGTTGGGGTTGCCTGAAAATTCCACAAGAAGCCACTTGACTGGATTTCTTCTGTTTCAGAAATCTTTTTGAAATGTACAATTTTGCCATCCGAACAAGAGATGATAGAATCATAGATGACCTCTCTTTGGATTATAGGCTTCCTCATAGAGCCCAAGAAGGCTCTCAGAAATTGGTTTTGATTGCCCAGCTGCAGCAAAGGTGCCTCTGACTCTGGAGTGCAGAGAACCAACTCACTCTCAGCTGCTGACCACAGGGCGCTTGTGCTCAGAAACGCCAGAGAGACAGCTTCTGGACCATGTTCCTAAGCAATCAGATTGTTGTAATGACAGAATAGTCCTTGGATTTCATTTTTCCCAGATTTCTTTCTCAGTCAAGCTTACACCAACAGTGCTGTAGTTAGTGTCACATCAGTGAGCACAGGGGTAAGCCAAGGCAAAAGAAAACAGTCATCCTCACAAAGCAGGCCAGCCACAATAACCAAGCCCCACAGATGCTGTGCAATCAGAAACCAAGGCTCTTGCAGGTGGCCCTTGCCCACAGGCCTCTCTTTTGACCACACAGGAGGAGGACACTGCTGTGCCATGGAGATGTCTCATTCACACCCACTGCACAGAATAGTTTGAGGCCAGGCTCTCACTGTGGTGACAATGACCCATGTTGGGGACTGAACTGAAGTCTCTTGTGTTTGTTTAAATCAATACAGTTTTCTCTATAAAAATAGCTTGCTTCAAAGGAGCAACACACAAGGCTGGGGCTCCTTGTGTGAGCCTCAGCACACACAAGGAAGCCTCAGCCACGCAAGCAGCAGGGAGGATGCTGCAGGGTCTCATTCAGCACAGGAGCTGGTGGGGGCTGATGGAGCTGCCTTACCTTGGAGTCTGTCTTTCTCAGAGAGGCTCCTGCATCCACCAGGAGCTGGCAGACGGCGCGGTGGCGCTGGCAGGCTGCCTTGTGTAGTGCTGTCTCCCCCCTAGACCAAAGCACAGAAAGCAGCCGTGAGACACAGCACAGCAATGCACATTTAGGAAGCATGAGGAGCAGAGCATAGATACAGCAGGATGCTGCATTTCTGTCAGGTTCCCTCTTGCTGGCAGAGGAGGATCTGTGCACTCTCTCCCTTAGCATCTACATCCTTTGACTCAGTAGGAAAGCCTGCAATGCACAAATAGCAGACAACTTCTGAGGGAAGAAACATTGACAGATTTTATGTATTCAGAGGACTGAATGTCACATTCCTATCCAACCACCAGCTCTGTTAACTGCTGCAAAAGCAAGCTGGCCACCTTCTTATTTCACAGCAAGCAAAACAGCAACAGTGCGTGTTTCTTCCTGCAATTTCTTTCTTCAACCTCATTCTTGGAGCCATCCTCAAAAAATCCTACCCATCAAAGCTATGACTGGTACACTTGCTGCCCCAGTTCTGATGCCCTGCTCTCTTGGATGTATGAGAGCAAGAACTCTCATGTTCTTCCACCACTGGACTGCTGAGCTACTGGATTAGCACTATTAGATTAGATTAAACACATGCTTTCCGGAAGAGAAGACTGTGTGGTGCACATTTGTTGCAAAGCTTCTCACTCAGACTGGAGCTAAGTCTGACAGGATTCTAAAACTGACTGAAACTGACTTACTCTTACTGAGAGTAAAGAAATCTATCTAGATTTGCCTAGGAAGAGAGGAAAGTATGCTTTGAGTGGGTTGAAAAGGGGTCCTTAATGCCAGTATCCAACAAGTAGGGCCATTACATAACCTGTGAAATAACAAATTACAAGAAATACATGTGGCAGGACAAATCTTGCACCTACCTACTCAGAGTGCATAAATGAATCTCAGCCCCCATCTATGACAGGGGATGCTGAAATATTAAGAGGCAACTTTTTAATCAATATGCCCTTGCTGCATCAGAACTTGTATCAGAATAGGATACCATCCCCTGAGGACCAGAAGACAAATTCATACTGCCAGTTACAGCTTGAACTTTCCCTTTCCAAGGGTTAGAGGTAGAGGAACCTCTGTTAAGGGAAGCCCTCATAGGTGTGCTCACTGACACTTGATGTGGTTGTGCTACACCCCTGGATAAAAAGGACGAGTCCATCCAGTCCCTGCCACCTCTGGGCTTCATTCATGCACCTTGTGCAAAAGGTGTTCTCTGTTAGCAGGGGAGGGCACTGTGGGATGAGAAATGGTAGGCTTGATCCCTAGGAAAAAGACTGGGTTTATTTTACATGTATTACACATTTTCCAGGATTAATTATGCTTTCCTTATATACTTTCATGAAACTTTGATTATACAAGGTGTAAAAAACTGGGAATTGGAAAGGAAAGTAATTTTTTGGGGTTGGGTTGTTAGGGTTTTTTTTTAATAAGAAGGGACCTGATTGATGTTTTAACTGCTTGATGGAAACCTTCAGCTGCACAAGTCCTGGCCACTTAAGAGAGCTAAGACAGAGCACCCTGGATGAATCAAGAAGGGACTGAAAAAAAAGGTGTAGAGCAAGAAAAGTAATTTCCTGACTCTTTGAATTTACTCTTCAGGCTGGTCCCTTAGTAGCTGGAGGCCAGCAATATCAAAACACAAGGCAGGGCTTCTATTCCTCTAGAAAGATTAAGGAAGCATGGGAAGCAATAGGGATAAAATCCTCTGAAAATCCAATGAAGGTTTGTTTTAGGCAAGAAAGCCACATATGACATGGTCAATGTGCGGTTTTTAAGGGGCCTTGTTTCTTTGAAGGGTTGTGCCAGAGTTGTGCCATTTTACAAGCTTTTCCTTTTTAACAGTTTGCACTTGAAAACCAAGAGCCTGCTGGTTTAACACACATAACATGAAGGAAAGAGTAGGTTGTACTTACGTTTCACTGTCTGTCATGTCCAGCAATTCAGATGGACCTGCAAAAGATAGTCAGATATGTCATAAAACATTTGTCTGCAAATGTCAGTAAAAAAGTCAGTAAAAATATATAAAAGAAGCCAAGTGAAAGTTCAACCGGCACAAATATATCAAACTTCAATGTATTATTTGCTTGTGTAAGCCCTTGCACTAATAAAATTCTGGATGCACAGTCACTGCTGGAGTGTCAGCAACAGGGAGTAGCAGCCTCTAAATTATACTGGGAATGAATATTCATGGGGTTTATTTTCTCACTCTTCACCTTGCTCAATTAAGTGGTTCACATAAGTACAGTACATTGAAAATGCTGATATACTGGAAACCCTGATATATTGCAAGTTAAAATCTATTGTTGGTATTAGAGGGAAAATGTCATTAGGAAGTTGAAATTAGCCAAATTCCATCCTGAATGACATCCCTGTGCTGCTCCATTTAATAGTGTTATACAAAATGTAGATCAGGGTGGAATATTCCCAGCAGTCTTTATATTGATATGCAAATCCTGTACTCTACTGGTTAGCAATGATCAGGAAAGTAAGATTAAGAAAAACAGAAGAGATTTTTGTTAAGTGGGGAAAAAATAATACATTTAGGTTAATTTCCTTTCGTCCTTGATATTCACTACAGGCAGATATTTATAGAGGCAAATTTCATCGCTGAATTATAGTGATATGGAAAGGCTAGGATCTGGATATCACTTGGAAAAAACAACATTTCCTTTGCAGTCTGTCATAGCATTCTGCTCTCCACTGCTCTGGAGTGTAGTGTTAGATGGTACAGGGCAGTTAGCAAGGGAAACAGGGAAACTTTACAAGACTTTTCCTTCCTGCGCATGAGTATTTCTCTCCAGCACACTGAGACTTTGAAATTCAAGAGTCCTCAAGAGCTTACAGCAAATCTCACCTGATACTGAGGAATTTCACACTACTTGCTTACAAAGGCCTACACACAACCTCTCAACACTCCTTTTACCTTGAGTGTGTGTCAAAATGGATCAGAGCAGCCTCTCTTTACCTCACTTCTTTTACAATATACACATGGAGCATCACTGGGGCTCCTGAGCTGCTGGAAGCTCCTTCATTTCATCTTCTGCCATCCTGAGAAAGGGTGATGCTCAGTCCTCAGTGCACAGGGCATTGTGTACCACTGCATATTTGCCATGACATCTCTCCAAACTCAGTAGCCACTGTCAATTATTTAATGACGCCTGACTCTACCACACCACACATCCTCATCTCCACACTTGGCAGTTGTGTGTTCACTCCTGACTATCAAAAAGAAGAGTCAGTCACTACCCCTGAGCTCCCAGGACCACAAAGAATGATAAAGGGGGTAAGCAGAGCCTCTTGTTGAGAGGAAAAAAAAAATGCCCAGGAAACTAAAAAGACAATTAAAGAAATACACATGAAGAAAAGGAGTCGTTTCCATTTCCTAGGAGAAAACAGTGTTCTCTCAAAAATAAAGGTAATTCCCCATAAGTTCCAGCAATGCCACATCTCAGTGATAGGTAAGCAGGAATGGCTTGCAATGTGTTAGAGAAGACACTGCCACCTATTATTTCTGCTCATGACTGGAGCAAGGAAGGTTGTATGGCCAAGGTGGAACAGGGTGACAGGTCTGGCTTTATGGGACATAGAGGTACTTGCCCAGGTAAACTGAAGAAGCTGTTGAAAGGTAAGTAAAGACAGAAAAATAGAGAGTATTCAGAAGAATACGACCTGAGAGGGAGAAGAAAACTGGGGCAGAGTGGATCTGGAGAGAAGCCAAGGGTAAAGAAAAACTGGTGTGAAGCAGGAAGCAATAGCAGGGCTAGGACAGAGGAGCTCAGTGCTGAGTCTGTGAGTACAGCCCTGAGGAGATGACAAGTACAGCTCCCCTGAGTGCAAAGGGTGCTCTCCTGGATACTGTCCCAAATTCAGCATTTCATGGGAGAGCCCTGACTCCATCTGAGTCGTACTGGGGTTAATAGTTAGCTGCACAACATGGTACCAAGATTCTTTAATTTCATTCTCTCTGGCCTGTCCCTGAAGCTGCAATGTCCCAACTCACATCCTGAGCGGTGCCCTTTACTTCTTTATTTTATTTTCACTTGTGCTTCTCTTAAACCATCTCACGCCCTCCTCCTAATTCCCTTTCCCCTCTTTTTTGGACCTCATTTTTATATCAGTCTCCCTGGCGCTGCCAACCGACCATTCCAAATCCCCCTCTGCCCGGGGACAAAAGCTGCACAGATGTGGGAAGGGCTGGCACTGGGAAAGCTAAGGCACTGTCATCCTGACCCAGCAGGGAGGCGGCTGTTTCACTCTGGGACAAGAGGCACAGAAAGAAAAGGGGACCAAGGCACGGAGAGAAAAGAGGACAAAATAACCCAATAGAAATCCGGAAGGGAAATGCATGAGTGAGATTTCTATCAAGGAAAACAGCAGGAGGGGAAATAAAAACAAAAGATAGAAATGTGTGGAGAGGTGGAGGGAGGAAAAAAAAGAGAGAGAAAGGGGAAAAAGAGACTGGGGGGCTGAAGAATGGCAGGATGGGGACGGGGTGGGGGGAGATATTCACTTGAAAAGAGCTGAAAAGCATGACGCACCGAGGGGAAGCCCAGCTGAGATCACTCTCTTTCCTCAACATCGCCCATAGACTGTCTGTGTAGAATTATTAACTTTTTTCCTTCTATCCTTTTGCCCTCTTTGCCTTCTTTCTCTCCACCAAAGCCCTTCTCCAGTTTCTCAGAGGGCAAAGCAGCCTGGGCTGGGTATGGGAGGAGGGAAGGCAAGGAAACTCAAGAGCAGCTGCTCCTTCACTGAGCTCACTGCAATAAAAAAACCCCAACACTTCAAGTGACCATATTTCAGAGGCATTTCCAAAATATACAGCTCCACACATTCTTGAAAGGCCTCTGAGCCCACAGCTCAGCCCTCTCCAATGGATGTGGTTACAGCTACCCAAAGGAGACCCACAAATATTTAACCCCTGCCAGTCCTGTGTCCTGTCAGTCCTCCATAGAACCAGGGAAGAAGGGTACTTACTCTAAGCAGTAATCATCAACATTTCTGGATGTTTATCTGTCGAAACCCTCTTTGTTTAATAACCTGATTGAGGTTATTATCTGGGGGACAAAACTGGATGTGGCTCCTTACTTCCAAAGTAGGACTACTTGTAAAATAACAGTAAACTGGAATTTCAGAACTATTTCTAGTCTTTCCCCAACACCACATTCTTTTTTTTCTTTTTTTTTTACCTGATGGGAAAATTAACAGTGGTCTTTTCTGCTTGTGTCTTTTAGGTCAGAATTTCCACTGTAATATAGAGGCTAGACAGGTTATGGGAGCATTCCTTCCTACATGTCTGTCAGCCACATTACCCTAAAATTTGGTACACTTGAAATTAAAATAGGCTATGTTGTACCTCGTGCTTTCCAGAAAAACTAAACTGTTTTCTGCTCAGGCCCCTTATAAATGACCACTACCCTAAAACATTCTGCAAATCCAGACATACCAACAAGTGTCATGCAAACTCACTCTCATTCAGTGCTACTTTCTGATGACTATTTAAACTTTGTCCCCAACACTCATCTCTGTCACAGCAAAATTTCCTTTCCCAAAGCCTTCCAAGGAACTTCTGAATCTGGCCAAGATGCAAATCCAGATTCACTATGTCTCTTAGCTCTGGACTTTGCAGTGCTAAGATAAATGAAAGCATCATCTTTTTTTATAATCAGGGGATGTTTTCTAATGAAGCAAGGACACTGAGGTTTGAGGACATAGAAATGTTAAGGATGGGATGCCCTACATACTGTCTGTTGCAGCAGAAGTTCCCACCACAACCTCCTAAGGCAACTGTAAACTCTTAACTCCCTTCTGTTTAAAATCAAAATACCATAGACAAACTTCACAATTCTTTTGAATGTCTAGAGAAGACAAAGACAAGGCAAATGGAATTATTTGTATAATGTTTATAAATTAAAAAAATTTCACAGCTGCCAGATAAAGACTCCAATCCAAGTTTGACACCAAATACAGATGGTTTAGGAGGCCCCTTTGCTAACAGAGGTTCTTAAGCCTTCCTTAATTCTGCTTGTGTTAAACAAGTAGACAGTCAACTCTTCTCTAATGTACATGCATTAGGATCCAATGCAGTTGCTGACTGCAGCATTAAAAAGCTGTGGTTGTGATACTTACTGAGTTTGGCCCTCAGTTTCCAGCTAAGCATTTCTTACCTCAGCTACAGACAAGATTTTAAAGCTGACCCTTCTACTAAAAGTGAAACACTTTTGTTTTAGGTGGGCAATCTTGAATGAGTGATAGATCTCTGTCTATGTATCTGCCCTTCCTGCACAGGGGATAGAAACTGTTTACTGTGCTGGAGCAGCAGCCAGCACAGCTCTTCCTGCAGCAGCAAGCCGCTGTTGTCCTGACACCTACTACACTGGTGCTTCAGCTGATATTCCAGCCTTGTGCTGGGTCACTGTGAGTTATCTGGCAGCGCTGCACAGCAGTCCCCCTATGTGACTCATCCCTGCTATTTCTAATTTAAGATTATTTTCCTCCCCTTAACATCTGAAATCATTCTGATCATGAGCACAGAATAACCTTTCATATAAATGTGCCCTGCATGTTTGTGGAATAGGCCATCTCCATAAAGGACAGCTTTAGCCCCACTACACCATTTTCCTTCTTTTATAATTCTAGTTCTATGTGTGCCACTCCTGTACTGCATTGGATTCATCCCACTGTTTTTCAGACTGGAAAGGTAAAGTTCCTGGAGCAGTGGGTTTTGTCTTCTTTTGTTGCAGTTGTTTTTTAGAGATATTCAGAAGATTTTTTTCCCTATGTAGTTAATAAAAGATTTTCTTGGCTGTGTGCTTGAGGATGTTTTACAGAGGAACTCCTATTATCATTCACTATTCCCCATGTATTGGGAAGCAGACAAACTCCAGAGGAAGTCTGACTGGGCAGAGGTAATTGCCAGAACAGAAGTAAGACTCATTTTTATGAAATTCTTATGAGTGGATATTGGCAAAAACAAGAAGCTCCACGCAGGGAAACCCTTAGATATTAGTAGCATTGGATCAGGTCATGTACATTAATTAATGCTGAGAAGATGCCAAATGACAGAGAATGCAAAGAAAAACAAGGGCATTATGATGATGATGATTCAGCAAGAGAGCTCGTTTGTGGCTGAGAAGTGCCCAGAGTAGAAATGAGTTTCATTAATTGCTTGGTGGGAGAAGAGAGGAGGCCTCTATTAGATTGTGCATTGTCCCATGCACTCCCTGATCCCCAGAGAATGTTAAACAAACAATGCATTTGGAGAAGCCCAGAGGACATATGTCTGGAAAGCTGCAAAAGCCTCCTGCCATCCTTGGGGATAAAGAAGGGAGAGAGGAACTGAGCTGACATTTACTCAACCTTCTGATTTGTCTTTGTCTAACAGTCCGTAATCCCTCACATTTCTCTATTTACTTCCAAAATTCCCATGGATTCCCTGCTTACATTCTTATCAGTTTAAATTATCTCACTTTAAATATTCATCAAAGTAACTGGGCCAGACTGTCACTAAGCTAAACTTTATGTGTCTAATAAAAATCCTAAAGAGGCATTGATGAATTTGCACAGGTCATGTGTAGTGTGAGAAGAGACCAAGGGCAGTAAGAAAATAAAGCAAAATTATGCCTGTCTACATAATTCAGAGGCACATGTGTGCACTGTGACTAATGCAACAATCCAGAGCAGTAAATAGAAGGTAGAGTCAGCATTGGTAAGGTTTGCTAGAACTGGTGAGAAAACCAGTCATTATTTGGATATAAGGCCAGCTGCACTGCCCTATCCATATGTAGGTATCTATACATAAAGAGTAAAAGAACAATTCAGCCCCTCTCAGTCGGATTTTTGGGGCACAGTTCAGTTGTCCACACACAGATATTTTGTGCTGTTTGATATACCTATGGGCAAGCCTTGGGATGCACTTGGAATGAGAGAGATGCTTGCTTGGGCTTTGGTTGTCAGTGCAGGTCAGGCCTCCTCTGAGCCTTGTCTGTTCTTGTAGACCCAAGAAAATGTCCTGGATATCCAAGGGCAAATGACATCACACATTTATGTTTATCTAAATGAATAAAGTGTACAGGTAACTGTTCCTGAATCACTTTCTCCAATGACTACCTTGACTAAGATGTCCTTTGAGTCAGTCTGCCAGAAGCCTGCTGCTCTTAAGGATTCCCTCCTCACTTCCATTTGCCACCAAAAGTGCCTCTGTGAGACAGAGTAAGGATCCATCCTGAACTAGGTGAAGTGTCTGGGAGAGGTGAAGGGTCTGTGGAGCTAAAGCTGAAGGAGAGGCCACGTTCCAGACACAGCAAGGAGACAGAGAAAGAAAAACAGAAAAACCATGAGGTCAATCTGCCCCCAACCTAGGAATTCCTCCGATAAAGAAGAATTAGTGCTAAGTGTCATGCAAGATGAATATGTATGAACTTATTGTGAAACTGTATGCATATGCATTTGGAAGGGGGATAAAAGGAGGTCTGAAATCTTCAGGGGTACGCATGCCCTTTTGGGGAGTCTTGCGTCCGGCACGCGTCGTAATAAAGCATACCGGGCTTTACAACTTTTACAAGTTGTGAGGTTTCTTCTTTTCTCCGCAAAACATCTGCCACGCCAGAGCAAATGAGCTAAGTCACAGATTGCTGCTGACAGTACAGGAACTTGTACCTATAGAATACCTGACACCTATATGTTAATACCTAACTTAGGGGTCAAGAGTGAAGAGATGCATTGTTGCTTCTTTCTTTCTTAGGAGTTGTGCTTTTTTCTTCTCTCTGTACAATTTGTGCAATACCTTGGAGCAACAGCTAACACGTATTCTAATTACCAGAGACAGTCTCTGTGTTCGCACTTGCACTGCTGCTGAAATAATGAAGCTGATTTTGACATTCAGAAGCCAAAATAGCCATTGATATTTTCAAGTGGGGTCAGAGAAGAGTTCAGACTAGAAAACTTTTCTTACAGTGAAGGAGGATGATAACTGTAACTTCAGCTCTATGTGCAGAACAGTGACTATTTTACTATGCCACTCTCCAGCAGGGAGGGAACAAGGTTACAATGGTTCAACAGGCAGAAGCTCCTAAATGTGACTACCTCAGACACAAAAAGAATTGCTGCATAGCCTCTAATCTACTGACAAAGATAAGAAGAGAGAAAAGGAAAAAAGGGCAATAGCATGATCGCAGTCCATAATTACAAAATGGACATCATAAGTTTTTGCTGTTGGGTGGTCTTGAATCTAACAGACATAATATTCTAAGGCTGGAATGGAAACTAGATTAATTTGTCTAGATGTAAGGAAGCAGATTCCTGACCAGTGTGTTACTAAATGCTGAAATAATAACAATGGTTCTATGGGCTCTTTGTCACTGTAAATGTTTTCATAGAGATTAGATGCTTTCTACAACATATGCTCTAATTGAAAAACAATTCAGAGGATCCCTGTGCCAGACATTTTAACTAAAGCTTCACACTGCCTCTTCACAGCTGATGCAAACATGGAAACACCACCCTCCTCAAAAGTGATTCTAATTCTTCTTTTCACACTTTGCCTGGAGCCATCACTCTCACTGCTACCCCATTCCCAGCCTCACACAGGTTGCAGGTGGACATTGCACTGAGGGACACCACAGATGAGTGAGGCCACCTGCAGCAGCCCTGTGTGGTTTTGCCTGAGTGTCACTTGGCTGAGGTACAGCTCTCTGTGGGTCTGCCCCTGGGACTCACCATGCTCCAGGATGTATTTCACAATCTCACCATTCCCAGTCTTGGCAGCGTGGTGCAATAAGGAGCAGTGATCAGGTCCTTGGATTAACAAATTGGCTCCTTTTTTACAACATTCTATGAACTAGAAGGAAAAAACAAAATTTAAAAAAAAAAAAAGAGAGAGAGAAAAAACATACAGAAGGATAAGATGGGAGGAGGAGAAAAAAAAAATATGTCAGTAAGTTCTTTACTTCTTCTCATTGTAAGTTAGTATAAAATAGAATAGAATAAAATCAAACATTAATTTAAAGCCAGCTTTTAGGCCCTGATATAAAACATCTGAAACCAGAAGTATTGACAATTATATGTGTTAAGGAGAACAGTCTGTATTTCCTAAACAATGAGACATTGCTACTCTACTGGTGATGATTTATTGCTTGCTAGGAATGCTTGCAAACCATATCTGGTAACGCTGTTGTGGTATATTAAAATATATGCACTTGATAAAAAGTTCTGGCTTCTTTGCTGAAGACTCACATTTTTCTTCAGCACAGGAGTCAAATATTTTCTGAATAAATCAGGAAACTCCAATTCAAAATTCTACAAGGAGATGAGGTGACTGTCATGGACCTCCCTTGTCACAGTACTCCCTGTTCAGGGCTGGCCAAAGAGGGAGCAATACATGGGGTAAGAATAAGAGAAAACAGCAACTAGGCAGGTCTCAGAAATGCTGCAAAATTTGGGGAAGGGGGGTGGGATTCTGCAGATCACTGCAGAAAAAGGAGAGAATTGCTACAGTGAGGACTCATTTATAATGCAGTACACTGAAGAAGGACTAGGTGTTTCCCCATCAAAGCCAGCTCAGGCAAAACATTTTCAAGAAGTGTAAAGGAGACAATGTTTTTATGACTGCTTGAAGGACTGCTCCCTAGATGCTACAGCCACAAGAGCTGAGGCAGTGGTATAGAAGGGAGGCAAAATACCTGCAGGCAAAAAGTTGGCCTAACAGCACTGTCATTTTTACAAATGGCTCCAAGCTGGCTTCTCCCAGATGAAATTGCAATCATTAATCACAGTCCTCATCCAAATTCAAGAGCATGTTTTCAGATCCTGACTTGGCTACTGAGACAGGCAGCCTGAATGGCTGTCTGGTGTGGGACTGCAGTCATTGGCACAAAAAATTTTCATGAGTAGTTTTGCCTCCCAAACTTACTGCACCAAGGCACTACATGTTTTGAGACATCCATCAGGTGATAAACCACCAGATGAGGTTTGCTTTGCCTGGTCTGGTGGTTGCCTAGGTAGACTTTGAGCAAGGTAGCACTTGGGGTGTTGGCCACCAGCCTCACTGGTGGAAAATATGCTCTCCTGTGTAAGGGTGTGTCAGAACTACCCTGCTGTTCAACACTGTCAATATAGCAATTTCCCTGTTAGTGACTGGCACATTGCTCTGTGTAGTGGGCTCTGAATCCTGAGCAAAAAGGCTAACACCAGATCCTATTCACACAAATTTCACACCTCACCTGAATTATGTGTTCCCCTAGTGTTCAGAGTTTCCTGGAAAGGCTGTAAAATGGCACTTGCCAGAAGTCCCCACAGCAGCCTATTTGTGATTTGAGCAGAAGTGTAATAAAATGTACAGTATATCTGACCAGCAAAAAACTGAGCGGACACTCAGTGCTCTGTACCTACCTTCAGTAGATCACCAGATATGACTGCCTGTAAAAGTGCTGCAAAAGACAAAAAGAAAACTGATGTCAGGCAGAAAGCATTATGCATACAGCTCCACAGCTGAGGACACAGCTCACAACACCTGCAAGTTAAGGCTGACATCCCTCAGTCCACTTGCATTCTCATGTATACTACCAGAACCAGTGCAAACCCTGTGCTGACACTTATGGGAAAGGCAGAAGACAACCCATGGTGATGAAAGCTGTATGGACATCAAGCTATCATTTCCCATGCTCTTCTGGAACTGCAGGCTTCTATCTGAATTTTTCATTTGAGACTCTTCTGAGACCTTTCAACAGTGTCCACAAGGTGGACAAGGTCAAGTTTCCAGCACCTAAACCATCACTGAAAATACCAATGTTATCTGCACAGAGAACCTGAAACTGTCTACAGAACTGTCAGACTTTGTCACACTGATGATGGAGTCACTCCCCAGTACACTGAGAATCCCAAATTGTAGATGACTGAGTGACAAGAGAGAAATTTCCTAACAATTACTTGTATTACATAGACATTATGAGATGCCAGAGCGGAGCAAGTCCCCTGGGTTAGGCAGGCAGGGTCAAAGACAGAGCAAGAGCCAATCCTCATCTCATCAGCCTTTGTATTTTAAACAGACATGGAAGCAAAAAGAGACAAAATGGGCAAGGGCTCACAACAAGGCAGGACAGAGCTGCAAACAGCTGGGAGCTTCTCACTTCCCACTAGTGCCTGTCCTGAGCCTGTTAAAAAACAGAAGGAATGCAAAAGCCTGGGATCCCCTATTGCCCAGAGAAGCTATCACTAAGTACAAACATATCACTATGTGTGTCCTTTTCTCCTCCTTCTCCCTATCATGATATATATTGTGAAAAACAATGATGAATAATCTTTCTGAGAAAGCACTTATGTGGTTTGCATCTTCCAAAACACTAAACATCTGCCTCAACTCACACTTTTTCAACACTATCTACACCCATTTCTACCTTTGTGCCTAGGCAGTGCACTCAAATTAAGCATTTCCCCAAGTGTCATCCTTGATAGAGGTGCCAAAAATTCATACAGGAGTAAGCAGGAACAAGTGGGGAAAGAGAAGCACAGTATAGCCCAACCTCTGAAAAATAACACACAGGAAAGTGCACAGTGGGAATTCCATGATGAGCTTGCTACACCTTCAGAAATGACAAGGCATCCAAGATAAACACTTCAGAAGAGGAAGGATGTTCAAAGGCAACTCAACAAATGTCCTTTTCTTTGAAAACACCTTGGGCTTCTATGTGGCTTTCTGGTCTCAGTAATGTCTCATGCCCTGGCCATACAGCACTGGGAAAAGCAAAACCCCAGTCCAGCTAAGCCTGTCTGGAGGAAGGAGTAGCAGCAATTATTGCAGCTTTAGATTTAGGGCAGTTTTTCAGTGACCATGAGTTAAACCAAATCCTAAAATAAACTCCAGCATCTATGAGAGTGAGTACACACAGATTTTAGGAATGGAAGAAAGCAAACACCAGCAGGTAAGAGCTAAAAATGCTTCACTTCTTATTTTCAGTGGTTGACATCCTCCTTTTTTTCCTCAATAGTTCTAACAATTGCTCAGACAAATTAATAGCAGAGCAGAATTTAACTAATGTAACTTCTTTTATATATTTCCCTCTCTTTTTTTGGTCTATCTGGTCCCACTGACAACTTTATTCTTTAGGCTTTGGCAGTCTGAACTTGCAGTAGCCTAAAGAATAAATATTTTGCACATCTCGTATGTGAAAATCAAATGAACTGGTGACATGAGTTTTTCATTGCCTTCAACATCCAATTTTTTAAGATATGGCTTGCCTAAGTCACTTTCCTAAGAGGCAGTGATACATTTTCTTATGCCAGCCACGCTGAAGATTACAGTTCAAAAAAAACAGAGAGAGATTCTTTGAAAAGCCTGAGAAGATGTGAAAAATCTTCTACACCAAAAATCCATAATCAGAAGTGGTCTGGTGATAAGGCTATTAGAATAAAGCAGCTCTAAAACAAATTCAACATAATTAGACCAATCTTTTCATCTCTTTCCTAAGCCTCAAATCCAGCAAAGCATTTAGGCAAGTGCTTAGCTTTGAGCTATTTACATTCTTTTCACGCCAAGTCTACCTGCACTCTTAAAATTAAGTGCTTTGCTACAGTAGAACCTACTGGATAAATGAATACATTACAGATCAACAAAACCAGCTGGCATAACAAGAGATTACACACCAGTAAAATAATTCAGAGCTGTATGCCCCAGCAGAGGAAGATTTAGAAGCTATTGAGCTAGAAATGGAGAAAGGTTCTTTAGAATCAGGAGTGTGTTTACATAAATATATGAATATTGCTTAGCACACTGACCCCATAAACCCAAATGGGGCTGCTGGGCATACTGAGGAGGAGGGTGAAGGTGGCAAAAATCACCTGGTTGTTAAAGAGGTGGTGAAGCAAGCAAGCAGATGGCATTGACGAGAGAGAGCAGACTGAGAAGCTGGAGAAAAACGCTGTTAACATGGAATGCCAGGCTTGCGTAAAATTAGAAGCATTAAAGTGAGAATTGTTTTATTTCTTCTAAACAACACTGCGCCACTGGTATAATACATAAAATTGACTATGTCGCTGTTTTATCATATATTATATACCTTCAGGTCTTAAAGATGTGTCAAAAATTACTTGATTTAATTAATATTAAAATCAAGTCATTGTTTTCTCAGTTTCTCCCAATAAAAGTATTTCTCATTACTAATAAAAGTATTTTATTACCTTTTATATTTATTTAGCAAGTACCTTTATTGCTGATGTGACAGCTTGGCAAAACTGGCAAGAGGGGTGCTCTGCTCATGTATTGAGGAAGCATTCGGTCCCCAGGCTGCTTCCTCAGTAAAGCTCTAACTACCCAACTTAGAAAAGAATCTTCATTAAAAACACCCTAACCAAAAAAAAAACCAAAAAACCAAAAAAAAAACCAAAACAACAAACCCAAGCAAACAAAAAAAAAACCCCAAAAACCTATGTAAACAAACTCCCCAAAAAACCACAAAACCCAAACAAACAAAAAACCCACTGTTCCCAGGCCTACCAGTAAACACAAAAAATTACAAACAAAACAAACACCAGAAAACCACCAAAACAAACCCCCTCACACACATGCCCTTCTCCACCTCTCATAAATTATTATTGAGCAGATACAGGTGCATAATGCACCAACAGGGAAAAAAAAATGTTGAAAAGGCTGCTAATTGAATTGTGGTAATGCTGCAAGCTAATAGAGATTGAGACACAGGATAAACAAGTACTAGCACACTCTCATGCTCAAAACAATACTTTTTCTAGGGCATATATCCCTCATCTAATTTCTGTGTGTCTGCTGCTTCCATTGGAAACAGCAATTTTTATTTCATATTCTAAAAATCTATGTTAATGTCACTGATTACAACAACATTTTTTGTTTCCCAGATAAAATTAACTTCTGAAATAAAAATTGCTCTCTGGCTCTGCATATGAAGCCAGGACCATTAAAACAGTGCTGCAAAGTCAGTCATTAAACTGACTAAAAAAAGTCAGTCTCTGGGCATCAGAGAAAGGAGGAAGGAAGTGTTAATACTCCATAACTTCAGAGGCTGAATATGCCTGAGAGGTCTTACAGGCTTGCTTGGATGGTCAGAAGAGAAAAACTCTCCATAGAAAATAACCTATTTTGCCCTGCAACAGTTCATGTTGTGCTCCACAGACTGAAGAAGCTCTAGAGTAAATTACCTCCAACCTGCAGCACCTAAATTAAGAATCAAACTAAGGCAGAGAGGGGATTCTTCAGAATGGCATGACTCCAGAGGACATGCCTGATTACCTCCAGGAATGACAACCAAACAAGGGCAAAATGAGAGGTCGTCTTTTAGGGTTTTCCAAGGTGTGATACTCCTAGCACCAGGCAATACTCGTGATCTTGGAAATTTCAGTTCCTCATACACCATCAGGTGCAGAATGAGAATGTCTCATCAATGTAAGGGCCAAGGCCGTGACTGCAGCACATCAGAAGAATGCAGCAGGAGAGGGGCAAGTTATCACCATCCCAGTGCTCACTTCAAAAGCCATGAAAATTCTCAGAAGCATCACAAGCAAGGAAAAACCTCAAACAACCACCCCTTCCTGTGCATCCTGCAGAAAAATTTCCTCCTAATCACAAAGCTGCTGATCAGCTTAACACCAAGGACAGACGCAGGGTTGCTATCACACCAGAAACTTTGCTGCTGAAACACTTTCAGAAGGAACATGAAGACAAAATTTCTTACAAAACCTTGTAAGTAATATCTCAGGATCACAAGGTTCTTTGCTTAAAGTAGGTTGACATGGAAGATATTAAGTTAGTTAGTTGAATAATCCTTAGTGAGACAGCAAAAGGAGATGGTCTGCACTGAAAAAAACCTCAAAGAAGAGGGTGGTTCTACAGCCTGCCACTGTCAGAAGTACACGGGTAAAGTGTCTTTCCACTTGAGTAAAAGTTATTCATAAACCAGAAATATCCTCCAGATTTTATTAGTCAGACTGCACAGCTGATCTGACTCTTTCAATGCCATATTTGAAACCACTACTTCTGTACCAACTAAGCCACAAAGAATGGTGATAAAAATGTACAACTTTGAAGTTTTCAACACTTACAAGGAATTCTCTAGTGAAGATCTAAAAATTTTGAATGAAGGGAACAGAATTATCTAAAATATATTATAAAATATAAGTACCACACCAAGGAATTGCCATATTCATAATTAAAATGCAGGCAATTATAGACCTATGAATGAAATGCAGTGTGACAGCAGAATATTATTTGCAATAATGCATCTTACCATGAGTTAAAAAATACTGGGGTACCAATGCATCTAATCAGAGCATGACAGTATTTAAGCACATGGAAAATGATGGCAGAATTCAGCTGCAAAAAGTCCAGACCTGGTTGGAGGAGGGTGCTTTAACCAAAGTGGTTTGGTGGGTGGCATCCCTGCCCATGGTAGGGGAGCTGGAA